ATTTTTAATTTTTGAGGGGAACCTCCATGTTCGTTTCTACAGTAACTGCACCAGTTTACATTCCCACCAACAGTGTATGGGGGTTCCCTTTTCTCCACATCCTGACTAACACTTATTTTTTGTCTTTTTAATAATAACCAACCTGATGTGAGGTAAATGTGAGGTAAAATTGTGGTTTTGATTTGCAGTTCTCTGATTTGCATTTCCCTGATGTTGAGCATCTTTTCACGTACCTATTGGCCATCTGTAAGTCTTCCTTGGAAAAATCTCTATTCAATTTCTCTGTCCAATTTTAAATCAGGTTGTTTGGGCTTTTTTCTTTTATATTAAGTTGTGTAAACTATATATATTTTGAATATTAACCCCTTATCAGATGTATGATTTGCAGATACCTTCTCCCATTCAATAGGTTGCCTTTTCATTTTGTTGATGGCTTCCTTCTCTGTGCAAAAGCTTTTTACTTTGATCCCATTTATTTATTTTAGCTTTTGTTGCTTTTGCCTGAGGAGACTAGTCCCCCCTCCCCGCAAAAATATTGCTAAGACCAATGTCAAAGGGTTCACAGCCTATGTTTTCTTCTAGGAGTTTTATGGTTTCAGGTCTTGCATTCAAGTCTTTAATACATGATGTGAGATAATGGTCCAATTTCTTTTGCATGTGGCTGTCCAGTTTTCCCAACAGCATTTATTGAAAAGATTCTCTTGCCCACTTTGAAGAGAGTGTTCTTGCCTACTTTGTCATAGATTAATTGACCATATAAGCATGGGTTTATTTCTGGGCTCTCTAGTCTATTCCATTAATCTAGGTGTCTATTTTTGTGGCAGTACCATACTGTTTTGATTACTATAGCTCTGTAGTATAGTTTGAAGTCAGGGAGCATGATACCTCCAGCTGTGTTCTCCTTTCTCAAGATTGCTTTGGCTATTTGGGGTCTTTGTCATTTCAAATAAATTTTAGGATTTTGTTTTGTTTTGTTTTAGTTCTATGAAAAATGCCCTTGCTATTTTGATGGGCATTGCTTTGAATCTGTAAATTTCTTTGGGTAGCATAGACATTTAAACAATACTAATTCTTCCAATCTATGAGCACTGTGTATCTTTCCATTTGTGTCAGCTTCAATTTCTTTCATACTGATGATGATGATGATGTCTTATAGTTTTCAGAGTACAGGTCTTTCACCTATTTGGTTAAAATTATTCCTAGGTATTTTATTCTTTTTGATGCAATTGTAAATGGGTTGTTTCTTTCCTTTTCTGATAGCTTGTTAGTATATAGAAATGCAACCGATTTATGTATATTAATTTTGTATCCTGCAAGTATACTGAATTCATTTATTAGCTCCAGTAGTGCTTAGGATTTTCTGTATATAGTATCATGTCATCTGTAATTAGTGACACTTTTACTTCTTCCTTTCCAATTTAGATGCTTTTTATTTCTTTTTCTGGCCTAATTGTTGTAGCTAGGATTTTCAATACTATGTTGTATAAAAGTGGCAAGAGTAGGCATCCTTGTCTTCTTCCTGATCTTAGAGAAAAAACTTTCAGCTTTTCTCTGTTGAATATAATGTTGTGGGTTTGTCATATATGGGCTTTATCATGTTGAGATACAGTTCTTCTATACCCACTTTAAGAGTTTTTATCATAAATGGATGCTGAATTTTGTCAAATGCTTTTTCTGCATCAATTAAGATGATCATATGATTTTTATCCTTTGTTTTTTTTCTGTGGTGTATCACATTGATTGATTTAAGGAAGTTGAACCACCCTTGTATCCCTGGAATACTGTATACACTGAAATCCCACTTGATTGTGGTATATGATCTTTTTCATGTGTTGTTGAATTTAGTTTGCTAGTGTTTTGTTGAGGATTTTTGCGTATGTGTCCTTTAAGGAATATATGCTTATAATTTTCTTCTTTTCTTGTATCTGGTTCTGGTATTGGGTAATTCTACCTTTGTAAAATGAGCTTGGAAGCATTCCTTCCTCTTCAATTTTTCTGGAATAATTTGAGAAGGATAGGTAACTAATTCTTTTTTAAATGTTTGGTAGAACTCACCTGTAACAACATCTGGTTCTGGACTTTTGTTTGTTGGGAGTTTTTAAATTACTGATTCAATTTCATTATTAGTAATCAGTCTACTTGAGTTTTCTGTGTCTTTATGATTTGGTCTTGCAAGGTTGTGTATTTCAAGGAATTTATTCATTTCTTCCAGGTTTTCCATTTTGTTGATGTGTAAGCGTTCATAATAGCCTCTTGTGATCCCTTATATTTCTGTGGTGTCAGTTGTGACTTCTCTTTCATTTCTGATTTTATTTGGGCCCTCTGTCTTTTTTCTTGATGACACTGGCTAGAGATTTATTGATTTTGTTTATCTTTTCGAAGAACCAGCTTTCAGTTTCATTGATCTTTTCTATTTTTTTAGTCTCTATTTCATTTATTTCCACTCTGATCTTTATTATTTCCTTCGTTCTACTAACTTTGGGCTTTGTTTGTTATCTTTATTCTTTTTCTAGTTCATTTAGGTGTAAAGTTAGATTGTTTATTTGGGATTTTTTTTGTTTGTTTCTTGAGGTAGGCCTGTCTCACTATGAACTTCCTTCTTAGAATTGCTTTTTGCTGTGTCACACAAATTTTGAAACATTGTGTTTCCATTTTCAAGGTGTTTTTTATTCTCTTTCTTTCTACACTGACCCACTGATTGTTTAGTAGCATGTTGTTAGTCTCCACATGTTTGTGTTTTTTCCAGTTTTCTTCTTGTAATTGATTTCTAGTTTCATGTTGTGACCAGAAAAGATGCCTGTCTTGGTTTTAATCTTCTTGATTTTATTGAGACTTGTTTTGTGGCCTAACATTGTGGTTGATCCTGGAGAATATTCCATGTACACTTGTAAAGAATGTATATTCTGTAGTTTTTAGATGACGTGTTCTGTATAAAACTATAAAGTCCTTCTGGTCTAGTGTGTTGTTTTAGGTCACTGTTTCCTTATTGATTTTTTTTTTTTTTTTGCCTGGGTGATCTATGTATTGATGTAAGTGGGGTGTTAAAGTCCCCTACTATTATTGTATTACTGTCAGTTTCTCTATGTCTGTTAATATTAGTTTTATATATTTAGGTGCTCCTATGTTGGGTACATTAATATCTATAAATTGATTCTTGGATTGACCCCTTTATCATTATGTAATGTCCTCCTTAGTCTTTTGTGACAGACTTTGTTTTAAAGTGTATTTTATCTCCAGGGCATCTGGGTGGCTCAGTTGGTTAAGCATCTGCCTTCAGATCAGGTTATGATCACGGAGTCCTGAGATCGAGTCCCACGTTGGGCTCCCTGCTCAACGAGGAGTCTGCTTCTCCCTCTCCCTCTGCCCCTCCCCATGCTACTTCTCTCTCTCTCTCTCTCACTCATTCTCTCTCTCTCTCTAAATAAATAAAATATTAAAAATAATAAAGTCTATTTTATTTGATATGATTATTGCTATTCTTTCTTTTCATTCCCATTTACATGGAATATTTGTTTCCATCTCTTCACTTTCAGCCTGTGTGTATTTGAACTGAAGTGAGTATCTTGGAGGCATCATATTTGTAGTCTTCTATTTTTATCCATTCAGCCAACCTATGTTTTTTTATTGGAGCATTTAGTCCATTTATATTTAAAGTAATTATTGATGAGTATGTACTTATTGCCATTTTGTTAATTGTTTTCTGATTATTTTTGTAGTTTTTCTCTGTTTATTTCTTCCTCTCTTTGTCTTCTCCTCTGTAGTTTGATGGTTTTCTTTAGTGTTATGTTTGGGTTCTTTTCTCTTTATTTTGTGTGTACCTATTGCAGGTTTTAGGCTTGTGGTTACCATGAGGTTTATCTATGTTGATCTATTTATATAGCAGTTTTTTTTTTAAAGATTTTATTTATTTGACAGAGAGAGACACAGTGAGAGAGGGAACACAAGCAGGGGGAGCAGGAGAGGGAGAAGCAGGCTTCCCGCTGAGCAGGGAGCCCAATGTGGGGCTCGATCCCAGGACCCTGGGATCATGACCTGAGCCGAAGGCAGACGCTTAATGACTGAGCCACCCAGGCACCCCTATGTAGCAGTTTATTTTAAGCTGATAGTCACTTAAGTGTGAATGAGCCTAAAAGCACTTCCTTTTTTACCTCTCCCCATGTTTAATGTTTTTGACGTCATATTTTATATCTTTTTATTTTGTGTATTTTTTAACTACTTAGGTAGTTATGGTTATTTTTACTATTTTTGGTTTTTAACCCATACTAGCTTTTAAGTGGCTGATCACAGCCTTGACTATATATTTGCTTTACTAGTGAGATTTTTTTCTTTTATATATTTTCTTATTTCTAGTTATGGCATTTTCTTTTCCAGTTAAAGAAGATGCTTTAACGGTTCTTGTAAGGCTGGTTTAGTGGTGATGACCTCCTTTAGCTTTTGCTTGTCTGGAAAACTCTTTCTCTCCCCTTTAATTTTGAATGATAACCTTGTAGGGTAGAGTATTCTTGGTTGTAAGTTCTTCCCTTTTAGCACTTTAAATATATCCTGCTACTCCCTTTTGGCCTACAAAGTTTCTGCTGAAAACTCATGCCCAGTGTAGGATTTTAAAGACCCCCATGCAGTCTGTCTTTTTAGTTTACCAAATGTGAAAACAACAACAACAACAAACCATATAGTCTATCAATGCATATGTCACATAGCTTTTTTTTTTTAAGATTTTATTTATTTATTTGACAGAGACAAACAGTGAGAGAAGGAACACAAGCAGGGGAGTGGGAGAGGAAGAAACAGGCTTCCTGCCAAGCAGGGAGCCCGATGTGGGACTCAATCCAGGACCCTGGGATCATGACCTGAGCTGAAGGCAGACGCTTAACGACTGAGCCACCCAGGCGCCCCAATTTTCTTTTTTTTTTTTTTTAAGGAGAAGCTACTTATAAAACAATGTAGAAACAAAGTTTATTCATCTGTGTTAAAAAATGGCACAAATTCTTTTAGAACACCAATACAGCAATGAACGTACATCTTAGGGAATGTAAAACAAATTAAATCCTAATTAGCTTTTACTTGTTTTGCCTTGGTCAGATTAGAAATGTGAGTCACTGGTTATGTTTACAAAAGGACTAATCAGAGAGAGAAAAACAGTTTTATTACAATATAGATTTTCCATTCAATTTGTATTCTGGGCTGTGCTCCAAGAATAAAGCTCATTCCTTTTTGAAGATCCTCTGGGCTTCTACTCCTTCATATATGTAAGTCTGAAAGGTGTTAACAAACATAGAAGAAATTGACATTAAGATTTAAGGCTCAATTAAGAAAAATGTTAGTATTATTATAGCTTTGAAATGATTATAGTATTTTTTTCTTAGTCTTTATAGCAACATTTTATACAAACACATTTTTGGTTTTTAGTCACATTTTTAGTTAAAATAAGTAAGATTTATGAGAAAGATAATAGTTTTTTTGTTGAAGATATAACTCAGCAATCACAAATATAAAATTATTATTATGTAATTATTTTTGTCTTTAGGAAATAGCTATGATCTTTTTACCACTCACCTGAACCAATTCACCATCTCTAATTTCTCGGATAGCATTCAGTTCATTTCCATTGTCTATCCGTTTGAATTTTCCAACAAGTTTATTTCCTTCTAGGTTCCAAGTACCCTATAAATGTAAAATAATAGTAATAAATAATAATAATAATAATAACAAATAGCTTTTTTAAGGGTCTTACATATGTTAGGCACTGTTCTGAGTATTATAGATCTACTTCTTCAGTCTTCAAATGACCTTATGAAGTAGATATTACTGTCTCCATTTTATGGTTGAGAAAAATGGGACACAATAATTCACCTAAAGTCATAGAGCCAGGATTGAACCTAGGCTTTTGGGGCTCTAGATTATATGCTGGTAACCCTTATGTTTGTCTCACTCAGTTGTTTCCAAATGCTAAATTTTAAGGTAGATGAGCAATGCTTCCTTTTTCTAAATCTTTCATGTTAAAAAGAGTATCCTAAATTTAGTCATGGTTCAAGTTAGTTTCATGGAGAGCCTAACAACACTGTGTATGTTCTAATTTTATAATTGTTGTAATAATTTAAAAATGGCCATTGGGATGCCTGGCTGGCTTAGTTGATGGAGCATGCAACTTTTGATCTTGGGTTGTGGGTTCAAGTCCCATGTTGGGTGTAGAGATTGCTTACAAATAAAGTCTTTAAATAAATAAATAAATAAATGGCCATAAATGATAAAATATTTGACAGTTTGTCATTACAAACATATAATTTAACTAGAAAATCCTGAGGACAAAAATGTTTTAAAAACTCAGTTGAAAAATACGACTATCTAAAATTTTTTATTTTAAACATTAAAAGGTGTATTCCCAGTGACCTACAATGTAGCATGCATCAGACTTTTCCATTTGGTCACCCATTCATTAATTAATTTATTCATTTATTTTATTATTTTAGTGTATTTATTAAATGACTATTAAGCTTAAGTTAGATAAATCTAAAAGCTTTTGGTGCTATCAGGTATGTAAAGTTGAAAACACTGAGCTTCAGTTTTCTTTATAAATAATAGGTCTATATTTAATCATCCAAAGGATGTTTTTCTAATTCTTATTGTTCAATCCAGATTATTTACAGATGTATGAAAATAAAAACGTTAGACTTAAATATCCTGCCAATTTGTGCAATATATAATGTGGATAAATTCTATTGGCTGCTTCAGTAAATGAAGGAGGCTTAACATTAAACATCCAGTGACAGAAAAGAGATTATTTTAGTATTGTGTAGAAAAATCAAGAATGTATTGCTTGTAAAAAGTATCTTACACTGAGTTCAGTTCCATCTGCTAGGCTGTAATTAAAAGTGACACCAAGCTCAAAAACAATTTCAATGGTACGAAAAGTGCTTGATTCTTTGACGGTGAATTTATTTCCTTCTTGTGTAACTGTCAGTTTCAAATTGTCATGAGCTGCAAGCTTCCTTTTCACCATGTTAACACCTGCAAAGCAAAAGATGTTGGAGAAAATAGAGTCAAAATGCCATAGAAAGTGTTTATTTCAACAAGTTCTGTTTTATTTATTTGTTTATGTACATTTTGAGGGTGGGAAGGAAAACTTGATTGCATTGCCTTTGTACAAGAGCATTCAGATTGCCTCTTACAGAAAAAATTCAGGCTTAGTCAGATCAAGAGTAGTGATTCAAGTTATGTTTCCAAAACTTATGAGAAATTAAATGAAAAACAGAATTGTAGAATCTTACAACTGAGTAATTTTAATATAATTATCAAACTTTTTGCTTCAGTGTTAATTAAACTAAATTCCAGAAATGTCAAACAAAGGATTAAATATATTAATATATTTATAAGGAACTTTAATTCTGCATAAACAGTATTTTTAAACATTTTTTGACTTTCCATAATGGCTTTAAAATTTTGAACTTCATAATTCTCTTTGCTTTTTGTGGGATTTCTATCACAAAAATGAGAAAATTGGCAAAGATTGCAGTCAAATTCATTATTGTAAGAATGTGCAAATCCCATAAATTTCAACATGGAATTCTGGAACTATAGGATATAATTGATGCAAATTTTGTTTTTGGGGAATGATTCCAATTTGTTTGCACATCTCACACAGTGTATGAGCTGCCAGAGTATTGGAATAGATATTAAATTTGTTAAATTAAAACCCACATAGAAACCACATGGAATCATGAGATTATTCCCAAAATTTTATGTCAGAGGAAATGAGAATTACATCTAATTTATTTAGAGCTGTGAATCATGATAGAACTTTTTTTTCCCCATTGCTTTACTATATGATCTTTGTTTTTCCATCCCCTAGAATTCAACGTTTTGAAGTTTTCATTATGCACTGCCCTTTTTTACTCTCTAAACCAAAAAAAAAAAGAGTAAGTTTTCAATGATACAGGCACAATCAGCAGTTGAAGAGTGAGTGAATCATACCTGGATCTTTTTTGTTTCAGAGAACTCAATCTTTTCTCCCACTAGTGAAACTGTAGTTTTCCTAATATAAGAAGTGAGAATATTGTTTTCCCTACTCTGAGCCTCATACATTTTGGATCCTCACCACCAGAACAGGAGTCATTCCCTAAACCCTGAGGTTTAGAAGGAATTAGAAGGAAAAATGTCTGTGAAGAACAAAATAACAAGCCACTAAAGAATTAAGCCCTTACCCATTTTTTCCATGAACTTGTCATAGTTCGCGTTCCGGTCTATCTTCCAAGTACCATCAAAAGCCATGATCTTCAGTTGAGTCAGCCTCTAAGCAATAGAGATTCAGGTCTGTCCTTAGGAGACAATTTATTCTAGTTCTTATCTTAGAACCAGCTTCATACTGTGATGTGGAAGTTTAAAGTTTAAAAGGTCACTTATCTACACTAATGCCCAGCCATTGTGGTTTATCTTTCTATAAATTTCTTAGTTCCTCTCCGGAAATTCAACTGAATTACAGTTGACCCTTGAACAACATGGGTTTGAATTGCATGGATCCACTTATATATGGATTTTTTTCAATAAATACAGTACAATATTGTAAATGTATTTGTTCTTCCTTATTTTTAAAATATTTTCTCTAACTTACTTTAGTGTAAGACTATAGTCTGTAATACATATGACATACAAGATATGTATTAATTGACTGTTTATGTTATCAGGAAGACTTCCAGTCAACAGTGGACTATTAGTGTTTCCGTTTTTGAGGAGTCAAAGGTTATACAAGGATTTTTGACTGCATGGGGAGGGTTGGTGCCCCTGACCCCTCCCCCCATGTTGTTCAGGAGTCAACTATAAAACATGATAAACAATACCTAGTCTATCTCAAACTACAACTTGTGAGTACATTTATTTCAAGAACTAGAATGCGTACTCTCTTAAAATAGGTTTTCTGCTTATAAGTTCAAAGTGCTCACTACATTGGAGGTAACACAATTTAGAACATATATCAAATAACATCTGGGAACTGAGACAATTGATGACCTATCCCTTTTTTACAATAGCAATTACCTTGTAAAGTAAGATTTTATGACCAAATATAAATAAAAAGTTAAAGTTAATATGATACTGAGGCTGAAGATTTATTTATTTTACTAATATGTTCTTTTGCATTGTGCTTTTGGGTTGCCAGGAGTTTGGTAAATATCCTGACACCTGGTACAGTCCATAACACATGGGTGCTCACTGGGGTTTTTGTTTTGGTCTTGAATGATGATAGGCAGCTGAGAAAAATTTTAAGAGGTAGAAATGTAGCTAGATAACTCGAAAACTTCCATTAGAGAAACAGTTTTAAACATCTGCCATGTAAAGAGAAAACAAAAACCAGATATCAGCTATGCCATTAATTAAAACCATTCCTTTGTTTTACTCTTATTCCCTCTCATCCCCAATCCTGGTGCAATCAGAAGCTAAAAGTCAATATGTATATGGGACGAGACCATGGAGGATAGCTAAAAAGGTAAAAAGTAAAGGAGGCCACCATATCTCTCCTTTCCCCCACTGCAGGCTTTCAGCCTGAAGCAGGACTGAGCTGGTAGAGGAAACACATTAACTCATTATGACATGCAGAGTTTTGGTTATTAACTAGTCTGAATATATCACTTGCTAAGAAGAGACCATTATTGTGAATAAATGTGACCAAAGAAACTCTTATTAACTCAAGGTCAGTAGAGAAACTAAAGAGCATGCCCAACATTTCATTCAGGGTTAGAGGAAGGATGTATCTAACACATTTGAACAGGAAACTGGAGAAATAGAATTAAGTTTTTAATTTTTTTTTTAAGTAGGCTTCATGCTGGGCATGAACTCACGGGGCTTGAACTCACAACCCTGAGATCAAGACTGAGCTGAGATCAAGAATCAGATGCTTAACCAACCAAGTCACCCAGGCATCTCTAGTTTTTAATTTTGATTGTATCCATTGGGCACACTTTTTCAGTGGAGTTGCCCACTTATTATTTTATCAAGTAAACACATTAAAAAGCTAATTACCTTCCACTAGCTCCATTATTTCATTAAGAGAGAAAAAGACATCAAAACAGAGAGAGAGAAAGGGAGAGGGGTGTTGGGGAAGAGAGATTGTAATTTTAGAATACTAGAAGTCCTTTACATTTGTAACTAACTTTATGAAAAAAAAATGATTACTTTGTTTTTCTCCCTTTTATCAGTGATAATGAAAACTCATCATTTGGGAACCATAACCCTAGTATACTTCCATTTGAGAAGGGAGCATAATAGGATCAGGTAAGCAAATAGCACTTGAACTCATGCCAACCTACTAACAAAATGGACATGTTAAACTTTTCAGTCTTCCATATATCAGTGGCAATATCCTAATTTAAAGTCAGGAGTCCCTGTTGTCTGTAGAGTGGCACCCTTGGATTTTTTAAATGAGTAGATCAAATTTTTAACATTATACTTTTCCAGCTTCCCAACTCTGTAGCTTCTCAATTCTTTTTTTTTTTTTTTTTTATTTATTTGAGAGAGAGAATGAGAGAGAGAGCACATGAGAGGGGGGAGGGTCAGAGGGAGAAGCAGACTCCCTGCCGAGCAGGGAGCCCGATGTGGGACTCGATCCAGGGACTCCAGGATCATGACCTGAGCCGAAGGCAGTCGCTTAACCAACTGAGCCACCCAGGCGCCCTGTAGCTTCTCAATTCTTACTACTCAACTGGACCCAGCTAGAAAAGATTATATAGAACCTATAGACCAAGTTCCCTGCAGACCTCTCCTACTGATGATACAATTGGACCATCTGGCTGAGGGCTGACCCAGTTCTTTATTTTCTTCTCTGATAAAGCTAGAAGACTAAGGGTCCTGCAGCTTGGGAGAGTGGGTGGATTAGGTGTGTGTGCGCAGATGCTCTCTCTCTCTCTCTAGGCTCATAGTCCACGTTAGTCACGGAGTGGTATGGAAGAAGTGGAAATCAACAGAAGCTCCTGGTGATCCCTATCCCATCCCTGCAGGGGATTGTAAGAATTACATTCCTAACACGGCTTATGAAGCCCCTACTCATTTTCCCTGCACCAAGCCCTGTGCTATGACACATGCATGGTTTCTAGGCTCAGCTGAATCGTCCGCACTGTCTGGCAAGACTTCTCTGTGTCCCAGTCAACTCCCTCTTCATTTCATGACAGTATCTTTAATAATTTTTTTCTATTAAAAGCAGAGTTTTATTCTTTTTAAAAATTATTTTATTGAGGTGTATTTGACACAATGTTACATTAGTTCCAGGTGTACAACATAGTCATTCAGCAACTCTATACATTATGCTGTGCTCACCACAAGTGTAGCTACCATCTGTCACCACACAACGCTATTACAGTATCACTATTTTCCCTTGGTTGTGCCTTTTATTCTTGTGACCGATTCATTCTCTAACTGGAAGCCTATATCTCCCCTTCACCTATTTTGCCCATCCTCCCAACCCTCTCCCTCTGGCAACTACCCTATCCCTCTGTTTTCTGTATTTATGGGTCTGTTTCTGCTTTATTTTATTTTTTAGATTCCACGTGTAAGTGAAATTATATTTTATTTGTCTTTCTCTGTCTCTTATTTCACTTAGCATAATATGACCTAGGTTTATCCATGTTGTCTCTAATTGTAAGCTCTCATTATTTTTTATGGTTGAATAATATTCCATTATATGTATTCCATTATATCTGTCTGTCTATGTCACATCTTCTTTATCCATTCATTATTCAATGGACACGTGGGCTGCTTCCCTAGCTTGGCTACTGTAAATAATGCTGCAATAAACATAGGGTGCATATATCTTTTCAAATTAACATTTTTGTTTTCTTTGGGCAAATACCCAATAGTGGAATTACCATATCATATGGTATTTCTTTCTTTTTTTTAAGATTTTTTAAAAGTAATCTCTACACCCAGTGTGATGCTCAAACTCACAACCCCAAGATCAAGAGTCGCATGTTCTTTTTATTTTTTTAATTTAATTTAATTTTATTATGTTAGTCACCAAGAGTCGCGTGTTCTACCAACTGAGCCAGCCAGGTGCCCCTCATATGGCATTTCTATTTTTAACTTTTGAGGAACCCCAATACTGTTTTCCACAAGGGCTACACCAATTTACATTCTCCCCAACAATGCACAAGGGTTATTTTTTCTCCATATCCTCATCAACACTTGTTAATCCTTGTCTTTTTGATACTAGCCATTCTGACAGGTGTGAGGTGATAATTCATTGTGGTTTTGATTTGCATTTCCCTGATGATTAGGGATGTTGAACATCTTTTCATGTATCTGTTGACCATCTTCTTCTTTAGAAAATCTCTATGCAGGTCCTCTGCCCATTTTAATTGGATTATTTGTTTTTTTGATGTTGATTTAATCATTTTCTTATACTCTTCTTCCCTTGCCTTCAGCAGATGACCTACATACTACTCCACAGGGGAAATAAACCATCAAATAATAATTCCCTCAATTTGTGCCTTCTCATTTTCAATATCACCTGTTAGTACTTTCTTTACTGCTATAAATTCTTTTACCCACTTATTTACTCAACAAATATTAGAATTTCTACTGTGACCCAGGCACTATGCTAAAGTGTAGAAGAATGAATACATACAGTTTCAGTCAAGAGGAAGCAAGGCTTAAAATTATAATAGTGAGGCACATGCAAAGACTTTCCCCCCTGCATTTTCATATTTGCCCCTATCTTTCTCTTTTGTTTATTAAGCTGAGGTGGGATCTTTTCTCCTTCATATCAAGATGGTCAAGTCTTTCCCATTTTAAGAAATGAAAAGACTCTCTGGATTCTTTTTATGTTTCTAGAAACTATTCAGTCTTTCTCCTTCCCTTTATAGCCAGGCTTCCTGAGAAAATAATCTATACTTGTCTCTACACTCTTCTCTTCTGTTAGTGCCTCAATCTACTGCAATACCAGCTTTCACATTCACCACTCCACTGAAACTACTCACTGAGGTCATAGATGAATTTTTTGTTGCCAAACACTATGCACACATCTTGGCCTTTATTTTATGTCACTGCAGCATTCCAGACTATTGACTCTTCCCCACTTGGAAATTTCTCCTTTTCTTTTCCTGATTTGATTCTTTCTTGACATTCAACTTACTTCTCTGAATGCTCCTTTTTAGGCTCTTCCATGGGCAATTGTTCCTCATTTGACACCTTATATTTAAAGTTGTATCTTAAGATCTCTTTTCATTCCACACAGTCTATCTGGGCCATCTTTTTCATTCCCATGTTTTCAGTTTCCATCTATGTGATTCCAAACTTCAGAGTTACAACCCAGATCTC